TTAAACCACTTTAATCACTAGAGCTCCCTATGTATAGTTTAGGAGATAAAGAAAAAACCCCAAAATAAAAATCCCTCAAACTCATTGAGTTGGAATCGACACATAGATGACACTGCTTCCAAAGCTGTTAATTATATGAGAAGAGGTTGTTCATCTTTTTCTTTTTGAGCCACTGGTGGATTTGAACTACTTTTTGTTGTTGTTAAGTGTCATCGAGTCGACTACAAAAAATAGCGACCTTATGAAAAACGGATCTGAACCTTGTCCTCTTCTGAACTATCTTCACTATTTCTGATACATTCCAATCCATTTAGGAGACTACAAATCTAAACTCCTCTTAGGTCTCTTTTGAGATAAAAGATGTTATAGGACACATCCTGGAGAACCTCCCTTACATCAGATGAGAACTGTTTGAATGTTTGTATGTGCCATCAGGTAGGAACCAACTCATAGCTGACCCTCCAGCGAGTTTTCAGAAGCTGTTAAGTCACATGAGAAGAGATTGTCCAGCTCTCTCAGGTAGAGCCTCCAGCTGTGAACCACCTGCCTTTGTTTTGGCTGACACCATGAGTTTAGATTTCTAGTCTCCTAAATATATTTGAACTTACCAGAGATAGTGAAGATAGTTCTGGAGAGGACAAGGTTCAGATCTCTTTCATAAGGTTGCTATTGTTTGTGGTCTACCTGATGGCACTTAACAACAACAACAACAACAACAACAACAACAAAAAGTAGTTCAAATCCTACCCAGTAGGCTACCAGCTAATCCTTTTATAATATTTGGCTTGTCGGATCATGGGGGATCATTACATAGTTTCCACATTATATCATTATTGTTGTTGTTAGATGCCACTGAGTTGACTACTATTCATGGCAACCTGATGAACAATGGATCTGAGCCCTGCTCTATTCTGTGCCATTACCACCATCTCTAATATACTTGAGCCACAGTCTCTGTTGAGGTCTTCTCCTCTTTAGCTGACCTCTCTCTCTAAGCACGATGTCTTTTTCCAAGGACTGTCTCTTCTTACCAACTTGCCCCAAGTAAGTGAGATGAAGTTTCACTGCCCTGGCTGCATCTGTCCAAGACATATTTGTTTGTTCTTGTGCAGTCCATGGGATATTCAGTACTTATCTCCAATAGCACAACTCAAAGGCAGTGATTCTTCTTTTGTCATCTTATTCATTGCCTACTTTCAGGTTGTTGTTATGTGCAGTCCAATTGTTTGCGACTCATAGAGACCCTATGTACAATAGTCCTGAAACCTGCTCTATCTTGTGACAACTTTACTGTCTCTGACACACCTACCCTCATTACCTCAGTCACTGAATCAATTAATCTCATCGATTGTCTTCCTCTTTTTCTCTGTCCCTCCACCTTCCCAACCATGATGTTCCTTCTCCAAGGACTGGTCCCTTCTTGAACCAAGTTCAAAGTATGTCAGATGAAGCCTCAGCATTCTTGCCTCCAAGGAGCAGCCTGGCTTCACCCTCTCTAGGACAAACCTGTTTGTTCTCCTGGTAGTCCATGGTATATTCAACACTCTTCTCCAGCACCACAGCTCAAAGTCTTCAATTCTCTTTACATCATCCCTAGTCATTGTCCAGCTCTCTGACACATAACAAGCAATTGTGAAGATCATGGCCTGTGTCAGGCACACCTTAGTCTCCAGACTGACATTGTTCCTCTTCAGGTTTTCCCAGTATAATTAGTCTTTTGATTTCCTGGCTGCTGGTATCAAGAATGTTGGTTATGAAGCCAAGAAAACTGAAGCTGTTAACAATCTAAATCTGTCCACCATCTATCATAATGCTACCAATCGGCCCAGTGGTGAGAATCTGTTTTCTTGATGATGATCTTCAATCCATATTGAAGACAGCAGTTCTTGACCTTTCCTATGTAATTAAAAGATCATGGCTTGAGTCAGATTCACCTTAGTCTTTAAATTAATATTGTTGCTCTTTGGAGAGTAAACTAACAGACATCAGTCTTTAAACCATTTGGAGTTTAAAACTCTTTGGAGAGGTTCCTGACAGCAGATTTTCCTAATGCAACATATCTTTTGATTTCTTCACTGCCAGTACAAAAGGTATTGATTTTGGATCTAAGTAAGATTAAATTGTTGACAATTTCTATCCTTTCTCCATCTATCATGATGTTATCTATTGGCCCAGTGGTGAGGATTTTTGTTTTGTTGATGGTAAGATGTAATCTATATTGAAGGCTGTAGTCTTTGATCTTCTGCAGAAAGCGCTTTATGTCCTTGCTTTCAGGCAAGCAAGGCTGTGTCTCCTGCATAATGAAGGTAGTTAATGAGTCTTCCTTCAATCTTAATACTATATTTCTCTTCAGATGTTCTGTTTATTGAGTGATTTGCTCAGCACACAGATTGAATACATATGGAGAAAGGATACAGCCTGATGCAATTCCTTCTTGATTTTAAGCCATGTAGTGTTTTCTTACTTTATTTGGACAAGTTTGTTGGTCTAGATTTTATATGAACATAGTTAAGTGTTCTGGAATTCCCAATCTTCTCAATGTGTGCCATAATTTGTTATGACCCACATAGTCAAATGCCTTTGCATAGTCAGCAAAACACTAATAGACATTGTCATTACATACATGTGTTTTGAGGAGACACAGGCCAAACCATGACAGCAACCTTATGCACAATGGAATGAAAGATTGCCCAATCCCGATCCTGGGCCATCTTCACAGTCTCAAACCTACTGTCGTAGCCACCAAGTCCATTTCCTTGAGGGAGCCTTGGTGCCTTAAGCATCAGGCTGCTAGCCAAAACGTCAGTGGTTGGTTTCTACCAGCAGCTCCATGGGAGAAACATGGATGTTCCCCCCCATAAAAGGGTCACTATGCAGCCAAAAGGATGACAGTGAGTTTGGGTTTTTCCCAGAAGTTTACCATCCCCCCTAAAACCATTCTTCCTTTCCCCCTCCCTCTCACCCACCTCTTGCGACCATTTATAAACCTTGATCTCTACACAGCTGCCCATTCTAGATAACTCACAGAGGTAAAATCATGCAATACTTGTCCTTTTGTGACCTGTTGAACTCAGTCTAATGCTGTCAAACATTTCAAAACCCACTGGAGGGTCAGCTATGGGTTGGTTCCAACTCTATAGTACACAATAACAATGTTTTCAAAGTTCATACATGTTGTATGTACTTCATTCAATTCACATGAACAATATAAATTTGCTATTTTAACTCCTGCCAAGTGTATATAATATGGTGGCATCTGTCACACTCATAATGTCATACAACCTTCAACACTATTTGATTCTCAAACTTTTTTATCACTCTAAGAAGGAATTCTGTACCATTTAAGCAATAACTTCCCTTTTCTCCCTCTTTAACCCCATGATAACCACTAATGTTCTTTATGTTTCTAAGCATTTTTCTATCCTAAGATCTCATGTAAATTAGGTAGTACAATATTTGTTCTTTTATGTCTGTAAGGCTCATCCTTTCATAGCATGTATTAGAATGTCATCTCTATTACGGCTCCATTCACTGTTGACATGCTCACTGTGACTTCTTTTTTTTAAATTTTTTTATTGATATTTTAACACAATTTTACTGAAAACTTGGATTTCCATTCATTCATTGTTGGGCATTTTCCTCCACAACCCCCCAGTTCACTTTTCTCTTTAAGAAAATTATTTCGTTGTTGTACAATTTCCCCCTTCCCCTTGCCCCTAGTCTGCTTTGCTATGCACCTCTTATCCTGGACTGTTGTCATGTACATAACACCTAATCATATATTTCTTTTAGATAGTTCTTTCCCTCATTTATTTAAATGCTGTGTTCATTATTTATCCCCTTTTTTCTTAGTTTCTTCCCATCCCCGATGTCAGTCCTGTTTTATAACAGTGACGTTATACAGTATTTGTCCTTTTATGACTGAGATATTTCACTCAGTATAATGTCCTATAGGGTAACCCATTTTTTATAATATTTTCTGAGTTCCTTATTTTTCAGTGCTGCATAGTATTTCATTATGTGACTATACTACAGCTTCTCTATCCATTTGTTAATGTGCATTAAGGTTGCTTCCATCTCTTTGCTAAAGTGGACAATACAACAATAAACATTGGTGTGCATATATCTGTTTGGGTGGCAGTTCTGGTTTTTTAGGGTATATTCCCACCAGTGGAATTGCTGGGTCAAATGGTATTTCTATTTCCAACTTTTTGAGAAAGCGCCAAACTGCCTTCCATAGTGGTTGCACCATTCACTGTGGCTTCTACTTCTAAAGTGTCTTTATCTCAGCCAACAGGGCCGTACCTCTGAGTTCTAGGGCCAGTACAAATGCTTGTCTGAGGTGATTCTCAATGCAGAATGAAATCCAACCCAACTCTAAGTCTGAACTCTCTCCTCTGACCTTAAGAAGGTCCATTCTCTCTCCCGGGTCCCTCCACAGTGGCTAGTCAAAGGCATGTCCCAACCTAGCTCTGCTTTGATATCCTGTCAGCATCACCACTTCTTTGAAACTCTCATTCCTTGCACACAGATGGAAGCACAGAAGAGTATTCCAACCCAGGATTGCATTTCACTCCCCCAGCCACATCCTCCCCATCTTATAGTCCAGTATTCTGAAGGGTATTGACAGATTCCTTTCCTACTTATGAGTTGTATAGCTTTGGAAAAAGTCATCTAATTGATCTGTGCCCCAGTTTCATTTTGTACAAAGGGAATGAATAGTAAACCTCACCTCACAGAGGTACAGAGAATGAAAGGAATTAGCATTGTAAAGAGCCCAGCCTGTCTGACACTGAGTAAGGATTCAGTAACAATCATTCTCTCCTCTCCACCTTCTGGGAAACTGAGGCTGGTTAGGCAATACGTTTGACAAGAAGGAACCAGTTAGGTCAAGCTGAGAAGCCTGAAGTTTAAGAAGGACTGACAGGAGGCGCTCAAACATGCCTCTTCCTAACCTGAGCTACAGAGAGTTTCTGAATTTATGCAGTTTTTCCTTGCAGATGCCACCTCCTATACATCACTGTACAATCTGCTGAACTTCCCTGTGGGCGTAGTGCCTGTCACCACCGTGACATCACATGACGAAGAGGAGCTAGAATATTACAAGGGCTACTATGGAGATGAAAATGACAAAAATTTCCGGAAGGTCAGTTTCTTTCTTAATTCGGCTTCCTCTGGGGCTCAAATATAACTGGAGCAGGTCAGGATTGAGGGTAGTCATTTCTAAGGTTTGACTTGCTACAGTTTCAGCCTCATTCCTGAGGTCACAGCATTTAATCTCTACATCAGTCCCTGTCCTTGTCAGAGGGGAGCACCTTGAAAAATCATTGACATTTGGCACCTCTGTAGAGAAAAATTACCTTAAAATGGCAGAGGTTCCTGGCTAGTTTTCTGAGACACTGGACACAACACAGCTTCTCTATTGGCATCATTTTCTTTGTCAGGAAAATGGAAATAATGCCAATGTTGCACTAAACATTAAATCAGAAAAATGAAGCAACTAGCCCAAGACTTTGTATGTAAAAAGTATTCAATAATTGCTACTAACCTGTGAGAGACAGGACCTGACTGAACTGATCTGTTTTTCTGAGTCTCAGAAGTTTTCTGCCTTTGACAAAGTGCAGTCTTACCACTTCTCTTTTGCTTGTTTTGGTGGAAAATATCTGAGATTTCCCTTCTCTGATAGGCTTGTGCCTTATACAGCTTTCAACTTTTGCAGGTTTTATTTTTACCATAACATAAATTCAGAGGTTCATAAAAGGAAGTTTGTCCTATACATTTTTAACTGCATTCTAAAAGAACAACAATTTTTTGGTTAGAGTGGACAAGGAACCTGACTCTGAGAAGTAAGCATGTCTGAGTCAGACATTAAGTAACACTATTTTCTCCAAAAATTAACTTTCATTTTAGAGTTCTCCAGTGGAACTACTGACCTGAATTCTGAGAAAATAACAGTAGTGATATTATCTAACATACCTTGAGATATGACTACACTCTATATTCCAGGAGCTATTTGAAAGTGTGTTTTATATATATGTGTGTATATAATTATATTTATTAATGATATATATTAATTACACATATATATTCAATTGTGAGGTAGGTAAATGAGAAAACAGAGGCTCAGAGAGGTTAAGAGACTTGGTCAAGGCCACACAACCACCTGGACAGGAAGTGTTCAAAGAGTTTAAAGACAGGTGGTCTGGCTCCAGGGGCAAAGGCAAAATAAAGGTTTGTATGGTATCATAATGCAATGGAAACATATTTTAATTCATCTCCCCTCAGCCTCAATATTTGAATTTTTAAAAGTATGCTTTGATTTCATGGTAAGAACTCAGACTGCACCTCACGCTTTTGGGCCCAGGTTTGGGGTCAAGACACAAAGCTTACTCTTCACTGCAGAAGTGTAACCAGCATAATCAGGAAGGACACTAGATCCAGGCTTTGGACCTGCATATAACTTCCCCTACTGAGAAAATAAAACTAATTTCTTTACAGAATCAAAACTGATCAATAGGGAGCAAGTTTTACACCTTAACCCTTGAGAATTGTAGGCAAAGTCTGAACAATGGTTTCAGGCCTCACTGATTTCTGAGAAGGCTTGGAACTCTGAGGTACAGGACAACTCTGTCTTAATGCTGGCTGGACTTTTTAGACTGATGTATGTCCTAGGGCTAGCCCTCAGGGCGGAGCGCAGAGCAGTGTGGGTGGTGAGAAGAGCCAGGCAAGGGTCTCCTGAGCAGGAAGCAAGTACTGACTGTCTTTCCCAATAGGCGGTGGCAGGATCCGTGGGACTTCCAGTGGCTGTACAGTGCATAGCATTGCCATGGGAAGATGAGCTCTGTCTTCGGTTAATGAAGGAGGTGGATACCTTGGTCAAGAAACAGAAGGGGCCCAAGTGAAAGGCCTCTCCTTCTCCAGAGACCGCCTGAGATCCTCACTCAAGTCCACTTCAGATGGGCCTTCTTTCTCATGTCTTTTCCTTCCCAAAGCCCACCAGACCCCTTCTCTTGGTGTTCCCTTTGTGTGAGTATTCAATACATGCACTCTTTGGATTGGCTCAAAATGGAGAACAGGTGGAGGGATTCTCAATAAACACTTTTGGAGCGACCAAATTTGTTGTGATCAATCTGTACTCTGGGCAGGATTATATCGCCTCCAGGTAGTCTTCTACCTCCAGCTGCTCCCCTAATGTTCAGTCCTCCAAATGCTACTTCAGATTGCAGCAGAGAGAGCCCCAAATTCAGGGCTGAAAACCTGAGGCCAAGTCCTGGCTCTACCACTGGCTTGCTGTGTGACTTCCCTATTGCAACCTCAGTTCCCTCATCTGCAAAAGAATGAAGTAAGGTGAAGTCCTACAATCCTTGCTTCTAAAGAGTATTCTGGCTGCACTTCTTCCAAAACAAGAGTTATTCTTTGTTCTTTTGGTTGGTTGCTGTTATGTGCCATTGAGTTGCTTGCGACTCATAGTGACCCTTTGACAACAGCTCTGAATCCTGCTCTACCTTATCCAATTTCATTGTCTCTGACACACTTACCCCCCAACACTGAGTCAATCCATCTCATCCAGGTTCTTCTTCTCTTGCACTGTCCCTTCACCTTTCCAAGTATAATGTTCCTCTCCAAGGACTGGTTCCTCATTACAACATGCCCAAAGTATGTCAGACAAAGCTTCAAAATCCTTGCCTCCAAGGAGCAGCCTGATTTCACTCTCTCTGTTTGCTCTCTTAGTAGTCCATGGTATAGTCAGTACTCTTCTCTAGCACCACAATTAAAGGCATTGATTCTTCTCTCATCCTTACTCAGTCATTGCCCAGCTCCCTGATGCATAGCAAGTAATGTGAAGATTATAGCCTGGATCAGGCGCATCTTAGTCTCTAGACTGACAACATCATTGTTCTTCAATACTCTCGAGAGGTCCATGACAGCAGATTTTCCCAATGCAATTCATTTTTTTATTTCCTGACTGTTGGTGCAAGAGTGTTGATTGTGGAACCAAGAAAGTTGAAGCTGTTAACAGTCTCAATCTCTTCACCATCTATCATGATGCTGCCAGTTGGCCCAGTGGTGAGACTCTTTGTTTTCTTGATGCTGAGTTTCAATATATTGAAGGCTGTAGTCCTTGACCTTCTGCAGCGAATGCCTCAGGTTCTCAGTTTCCGCAAGCAAGGTTGTGTCATCTGCATAACACAGGTTGTTGATGAGTCTTCCTCCAATCGTGATGCCAGATTCCTCCTCATAGAGCCCAGCCTCCTGGGTGATCTGTTTCACATATAGATTGAAAAGATATGGCAAAGGCACATGGTTCGAATCTACCAGATGCTCCGCTGGAGAAGGAGAGGCAATCTCCTGTGCCAGTCAGTCTGACTTAAAAGTACACACACAAAATAAAGGGGGAAAAGATATGGCACTAACGTGCATCTCTGGCATACACCTCTTTTAATTTTGAACCATGCAGTGTTTCCTTGCTCTGTTCTGATGACTGCCTCCTGGTCCAAATACAGATTTCTCTTAAGCACAATCAAGTGTTCTGGGATTCCCATTCCTCTCAGAGTCAGCCACAGTTTGTTGTGATTCACACATTCAAATGCCTTTACATAGTTAATGAAACACAGATAGACATTTTCTGGTACTCTCTGCTTTCAACTAAGATCCACCTAACATTGGCTATAATATCCTTAGTGCCATGGCCTCTTCTAAACACAGGCTGCACATTTGGCAGTTTTCTGTTGACATGCTGCTCTAGCTGTTTTTGGATAATTTTCAGCAGGATCTTACTTGCATGTGATGTTAATGATATAGTTCTATAATTTCCACACACTGTTGCATTACCTTCTTTTGGAATGGAAACAAATAAGGATCTTTTCCAGTCAGTTGGCCAGGTGGTTGTCCTCCAGATTTCTTGGCACAGCCTGGTGAGCATGTCCAGGGCAATGTCCGTTTGTTGAAATATATGAGTTGATGTGCTGTCAAATCCTGGGGCCTTGTTTTGTGCTAATTCTTTCAGAGCAGCTTAAACTTACCCTTCATCACTGCAGGTTCTTGCTCATATGTTGCTTCATTAAATTTTGTGTCAGTCAATTTATTTTGTTATGGTGGCTCTGTGTACTCTTCACATCTTCTTTTTATGCTTCCTGGGTCTTCAAAATTTTGCCCACAGCATCCTTAAGTAATGCAACTCAAGCCGTGACTTTGTTCTTCAGTTCATGGTATATTCAATATTCTTCATTAACACCACAACTCAAAGGCATTGATTTTCTTTTCTTTCTTATTGTCGTTGTTGGGTGCTGTCTAGTCAGTAGGACTTGTAGTGATTTTATGAACAACAGATCTGAACCCTGTCCTACCCTCATCATCACTGACACACTCAAGGCCATTGCTACAGTAACTGTGTTAATCCATTTCACTGAGGCTCTTCCTCTCTTTCACTTTTCCTAAAAATAGCCTCTCTGTGCAACATGCTTAAAATATGTGAGGTAAAGTTTCTCCACCCTTGCCTCTAAGGAGCACTCAGCTGCTTTCCACCCTCCACCCTCCAACATATCTGTTCTTTGGGCAGTCTATAGGATGGATATTCAGTACTCTCCAAAAACCATAACTCAAAGGCCCACATTCTTCTGTCATCCTTACTCATTGTTCAACTCTCAGATGCATAGCAAGTGACTGAAAAGACCATCATGGCCTGAATCAGGTACACCTTAATCTTCAAACTGACATCATTGCTCCTCAGTAATTTGGAGAGGTCCCTGACAGCGGACTTACCTAATGAAATATGTTTCCTGATCTTCTGACTGCTGATGTTTATTGTGGATGCAAGTAAGATGAAATGGATGATAATTTCAATCTTTTCTCCATTAATTATGATGTTGTCTATTGGCCCACTGGTGAAAATTTTTGTTTTCTTGATGTTGAGATGGAATTCATATTGAAGGCCGTGGTCTCTGATCTTCCATAGCAAACGCTTCAAGTATTCTTCACTTTCAGTAAGCAAGGTTGCATCCTCTGCATAACAAAGGATGTTGGTGAGGTTTCCTCTGATTGCAAAGCCACATTCTTCTTCAATAGAGTCCAGTTTCTCAAATCATTTGCTCAGCTTAAAGATTGAATACATATGGAGAATGGATATAACCATAATGTATACCTTTCTGGATTTTAAACCATTTTCTGAATCCTTGTTTTGTCCAGACAATGGCTTCTTGGTCTAGGTATAGGTTTTGTATGAACACAATAAAGAGTTTTAGAACTCCTCTTCTTCTCAAAGTCAGCCATAGTTTGTTATGATCCACACAGTAATGCCATTGCATAGTAAATAAAATACAAATAGACATTCTTCTGGTATTTTCTGCTTTTAGCCAGGATCCATCAGACATCAGCAATGCTTTCCCTGGTGCCACAGCCCCTTCTAATCCAGCTTGAACTTCTGGCAGTTCTGTGTCAGTGTACTTGTTCTAGTAATTTTTGGATAATTTTTAGCAATTTTTGCTTGCATGTGATCTTAATGATATTGTTTGATAATTTTCATATTCTGTTGGATCATCTTTCCTGTAAATGGGAACAAATATGAATCTTTTTCAGCCAGCCATGAAGCTGTCCTCTAAATTTCCTGATGAGAACATTTAGGGCTACATCTGTTAATTGAAATATGTCAATTGGTATCACACAGATTCTTGGAGCTTTATTATTTTGCCAATACCTTCAGTGCAGCTTGAACTTCTTCCATCATTACCATTGGTTCTTGTTCATATGAGACTTCCTGAAATTTTTCATCATCAACCAATTCTTTTTAGTACAATGACTATGTGTATTTCTTCTATCTTCTTTTGATGCTTCCTGGATCATTCAAGATTTTGCCCACAGCATCTCTCTGTATTGCAACTTTGAATTACTAGCTTAAATTTGGCCTGAATTTGTTTTTCAGTTCTTTAAGCTTTAGAAATGCTGAGTGAGTTTCCCCCTCTTATTCTCCAGGTGTTTGCACATTCTGCTGTAACATTTTGCTTTCTTCTTGAGCTACCCTTTGAAATCTTCCACTCAGCTCTTTTACTTTGGCATCTCAACACTAATGCAATTTCCACAGTCTCTTCTAGACATTCATTTTTGCTTTTTTCTTTCTTCTCTGTCTTTGCAAAGACCGTTTGTTCTCTTCGTGGATTATATCTTTGATGCCATCACAACTCCTCTGGTTTTTTGATAATTGGTATTCAATGTCCCAAACCTATTCTTAAGATGAACAAAGACGAAATAAGATGAAATTCATTGTCCAACTTTCACAAGAAAAAAAAAAAGAGAGGAAGACCCTAAATGAGATGCACCTTAAGCACAGCAGAGATTGGGGGGGGACGGTGCATGATCCGGCAGGGTTTGGTTTTATTGTACAAGGTGTTGCTCTGAGTTTGAGTCAGCTTGACAGCACCTGACAACCACATGTCTTAATAGAAGCGTACTGCCTCACTTCCTTACTCGGACTGGCTGATGCATTCAGACTGCTGATTTTTTGGCTAGCAGCCCCACACTTAACCCTTGACACCAGCAAATCTTTAGGAGTTGATACCTCAATGCAAAGCAATGGAAATCATTCCACCCATCCAAGATTCGTTAAGTACATCTTTTGAACACAAATGGTAGATTTTGAAGATATAAAAAGGGCTTTACTTAGCCAAGACAAAGACCTCGGGAATCATCTAAGACGGACACATTGACCTCTGCTCTGGAAGGAGAGGATGAGATATGATTGTTGGATTCACTGTCCTGGTTCAGCCACAGAAGCTGAGGTTTATCCAATGTCTTGGATCAGTCCTAGGGTTGCCCTTGATTCAGTGTTTGAATGACTAGTGCCTTGCCTTCCTCCTCCTCTAGGTTGGAGACCTACTAAGGGTCTTGGGGAAAGTTAGAGTCCAGGTTTTCTCTTCTCCCAGCTTCCTACCAGCTGCAACATTCTGGACACCAGAGAGCAGCATTGAGCTTCACGCAGTCTAGTCTCAGCCTCAAACCCATCAGGGCTTCTCTGTTCAGATCTCTTAGTACAAATTCCTTTTCACAGGTGAGGGAAACTAAAAGACAAGGAGACAGGGATAACGGAACACAAAAATAAGCCAGAGTGCTCTTTGAGTTAAACATTTTCAAGTCTTTAAAAATGGAGACAGAATTCTAGTTTGTGCTGAATTTAGCCTGGGAGAAGGGAGTGGTAATTGCCAGCCTAAGAGTCTGAATTAAGGGGAAGAAAGTCCCGTCCTGGGGTTAGATATCCCTCTAGGCTGGTTCCTCCTGAGCTGATGGCAATCCTTTTCCTCAGCTTCCAACTGTAGCTCATTCACTTACTCCTCAGCTGAGCAACACCATCTTCAGCTGAAATCATTCTGTGTGACTCAGAGCCTCTCATTGTGGAAGCTTTCTGAGGTAATATGTATGGGTGCAAGTGGGACCTCTCAGGACAAGGAATCAGCTTCTCCTCCCCTTACCACCACTCATGTCACACCTCTCTCTTTCTGGAGAGAGAAAGAAGAGAGAAGAGAGAGACAGACAGAACACGGACCAGTTTCTGGTTCTGCTATCACTGAGACTTTCTCTCCATTTGTAAAAAGGAAATGATTGCATCTGCCACAGCCTGAAACAAATGCACAAAAGCTTAGGTACAGGGGTCCATTCTCCACTCTTCAATCTGGGATTAGTGTGGGTTAAGAGGTTTAGAGAAGGCAACAGGGTCGGTAACTCCAGCTGAGGAATTTCTTTTAGAAACAAGAAAATTAGGGTGAGGGTTGGTTCTGCAAATATGGGGACTGAGTCCCTTGACTAGGATCCTTTGAGGAGAGATTGCCTTGAGTTCTGGTTTTGCTGTGTATAGTGGAGTGCTGGGAAGACCTGTTCCTCTTTTAGCCCTCAATTTCCTCTGTAGTCCCTTGGAAAACAGGCAGAATTGGTGTCCACTTGCCCCTTTTCTGCCTTTCAGTCCGAAGGTGCCCACCCGTCAGCCCTGCAGCATCTTCAGCCACCTAACACCACCACCACCTTCACCTACCCCACCTCTGTACATTCAGAAACTGTCCAGACTTTCTCAAATCAGTGCCTTTGAGTTATGGTGTTGGAGAAGAGTACTGAATATCTTGTGTGTTGCCAGAAGAACAAATAGAAATGTCTTGGACAAAGTGTGGCCTGAGTGCTCCGATGGTGATGCTCTGTCTTCTATACCATGGCATGTTGCTAAAAGGAGACATCATGCTTGGAAAGGTAGAGGGTCGGTAGAAGAGAGGAAGACCCTCACCAGACGACTGACACAGTGACTGCAGCAATGGGCTCCAGGATGTCAGAAAATGATGAGGTGGGGCAGAGCTCAGATCTGTTGTTCATAAGGTCTTTGTGAGTCCTACTAGACTCCACCACAAGTAAAACAACAGTAACAATCTAGAGTAATAGGAACAGATGGGAGTATTTGCCCCACACAAGTTCGGGGGCGGGAGGGCCAAACAAGCGCACAATGATATTCCAAAGCGCCACAAATATGAAAGGCAACCGGATAGAGAAGGAGGTGGGGAGGAGTTTCTGTTGACCAGGTCTGTTTATCTTTAAATTTGGGGAGGAAGGGAAATCTAGAGGTTGCGGGGTACGGGAGCTCAAATGGGGTTAGGGACACAATTTAGAGATTACTGGTTACCCTCGCTGTGCGCCTGATCCCACGCAGTGCACCCTCGATTCCGCCGCCCGGACGTGCATGCAGCCGATAGAAGCCCGGTGGGGTGGTCCCTGAAGCCCCCTTTCCCCACGGCCCTGGACAGAATCAACCCAGAGGCCGGCAAGCTCCCGGACCGCTCGGCCCGCGCGCTCCGCGCACGGGGCGCCCCGCCCGCCGCGCCTCCCCGGGCGCCCGCATTAAAGCGCATATGCAAGCCATGAATTATCAACTGAAAGGAGTCAATTACCGGCTCTAAAAACGAGTGTCTGCGCCCGGAGCGCCCGGGGCCATCCGCCTATTTACGGAGCGATTTCCCCCGCCCGGATAGGGAGGAGGGATCTCAGGGGGGAGAGAGCCGGAGAGGAACGGAGTCGGAGACCGAGAGAGACCGGCAGAGACAGGCAGAGATAGGGAGAGAAGAAAACTGGGACATGAAGATACGGAAGTCTACAGGGACTCACGCAAAGGCAGCTTCTCTCGCTTTCTCTGCACAGCTAGGCAGGGGGACCCCTCAAGACTTCAGATGTCCTGCTGTCCCTTCCTCGAATGGCAGTATAGGGGTCCCAGCCCCCTCCACTGACCTGAGAGGTTGGACCCCTGGCTAAGGAGCTGAAGAAGGGGTTTGAGGGTAAATCTGGGCCCAGAATGATGGGGACAATTTGCAGAGGGAGCCTGCAGCCTGGGGTCCAGCATCCAGGAGCAGAATGACAGACTGGACTGTGTGACCATGAGAGGAGGGAGGACGTGGTGAGGGACAGGGACAAAGAAAGAATGGAGCTTCGTGTGGGGTGTCTGCATAGCTTGTCTGCTTTCTGAGGATAGAAATTAGAACTTTCCAGGGAGGAATGATGACAGCAGCTCAAGAAGGCCGGGGAAGTCCTGTCTGCCCCCCAACTCCTCTCACCAATTGAAACTATACTCTGTTGACGCTTTTCTACCTGGCTCCTGCCTGTGCTCTGATTCTCTGCTTGGAAGGGGTGACTTTTCCTGCTTGCCACATCCCAGGCTGCCTTCAGTGCCCCCACTCTCATCCATGATCCAGGTCTGACAGCTCCACCAGACCTGGAGCACTAAGGAAGCAGGTGGTGGTCAGAAATGTGTCATACTTTGGAAGTATTTGCCAAGAAAATGAAGGAGGGTGTAAGCTGAGTATAGAGTGACCTTGGACCATAGGCTGTGGCCAAGACGGCAGAGTGGATGGGGCCTGAGTTTGGATGAGAGTTCAGGTGTCAACTGAAGGGAATTATTATTATTATTAATTTTCATGAACATTTACAGAAACTTTGGATTTCCATTCATTCATTGCTGCACTTTTCTCCCTGCCCACCTTCCCCCACCCCAAGTACACTCTTCTCTTTGAAAAGTAAAAGAAACATTCTTTCATTTTTTTTTTTGAAAGGGATTTTTGACTCATAAGGACCACATAAGATAGAGTTAAAAACCCATAGAGTTTTCCAGGCTGTGATTTTTACATATAGGAGAGATGATTGTGTGTAAGAATTGTGTGTAGGTCAGATTGAAGACTTGAGGCAACAGTGCTGGACTGAGTCCACAGAGATTGAGTCCAGCCCCTTATTGGGCAAGAGGCCCAGAGTCTCTGTACATGGGTGCTTCAGCACCCCTGGAATTCTAGACACACGTCAAGGAGCAGGAACCCCCACAATCATTGACCAAAGAGCAGGACTTGGACTTGGGCTGGGGTAAGAGAATGAGCTGGGCTTTCAGAAAATCAACAAAACCTTTCTCTCCCCAGATGTATCACCTCAGATAAATCCCTTAACTTCAGAGCCTCTCAGTCAGGTCCTTATCTAGAAATGGATACAATACCATCTACATTTACATGCATGTTTTCACATCTGCAGGGTGTTTCCCCCAAGAGAGGAAAGCATCCACAACGGTTGGTCGGTGATAATAAAGTGAAACAAAAACCCCAAACTGGTTGTTCTTGAGTTGAATTCAACTCATGGCGACTTCAAGCCAAGTCAAAAGTCAGCTGCGCTCCACTGGGCTTTCAGTGGCTGAGTTTTGGCAAGGAGATTCTCTAGGCTTTCCTTCCGAGGAATCTCTGGAAGACGTTAACCTTTCTTTTAGTTAGCAGCCAAGCATATTAGCCATTGGCACCACCCAGGGACTCCAAGAAAAACTATCACTTATTGAGGCTTAAAACATGTCAAGCAGTATGCTAGTGGATCCTCGCTCTCTATCTGCTCTTCACAGCAACTTCTTGAGCATCAGATGACACTTTGCAGAGAGGAAACTCAAAGGGGAGCAGGAGCAGGGAAGTGACAGTGTCAAGTTTGTGAGGCCAGTCTGTCTGGAAAGGCTTCTGGATCAGCAGGCACTAAGCCTTCCCAGAGTCACCAGTACATCCCTGCCCGATTCCTTCAGCCCTTCCAGAGTGGCCTGGCCCAGACTAGTAGTAGAGGTGACTGCACAGTGGGTGGGCAGTCCAAGTCTGGCAGAGGTGGACCCTAGGGTCTTGTTCCCATTCTGGGGTGGGCTGGGCGTCCAGGCTGAGCCTGTCGCCCCGCCATGCTATTATCGGGCAGCCAGAGGGGGTGTCTGCAAGCACCAGTGCTGGGGTTCCCGCTGCTGCTCTCCTATTAGTAGCTGGTGGCTTTACCATGATTTATTGGGGCTTCTTCATTTCCCCTTAGTCCGCTATAAACATATTTATACCACCAGAGTGACCGATAAATTTCCCTTATGAATCCTGTTATCTCCCCCATTAACCATCCGTCACCTTTTATGCGGTCATGATGGGCTGGGCCAGGGCATGGGGGCTGGATGGGAGGCCCTCGGCCTGTAGCCTGTGGGCCCAGTGAACTCTTCACCTCCCCCCACTGTTCCCCAGACAGACTAGCCACTGCCACCTTGGAGCGGCCTCCAGGATAATTATATTGGGCTCAGAATAGACTGGACCAGGCAGGGCATTTAAAAGGTGACTTCCTCTAAGTCTCTGAGCAGGAAGTCCCTCTGAGGGCTACCCTGAGTCTCTCTCACTGTAACTCCCTTCTGCATAAGCAGGAGTCTCCTGAAGGTGCTGCTGTTGCTCTTCTTTCTCTCCCTACCCCCAGCTCTTATCCTCATACTTCTAAGTGTAGGAGAAAGCTAAGAGAGGTAGATGTGCCAGAAAGACCAGCCACCAGCTCCCATTTGCCAAGTCCCTCCTCTGGGCCAGGCACTTTACATTTAGCATGCCATCTTCACCATCCTTGAAGCCATGTAGAGCCACATGAGAGAACAAGGCTCAGAGAACTTAAGAGACTAGCCCAAGGTCACACAGCCAATGGACAGAGCTGTGACTGAGGCCTGATTGGCCCAAAGCTTGTGCTTTCAGTCCTTGAATCATATACAACCTCTTCAAATGCCTTAACGTGAGAGGATTAAGTCAAGGAAGTTTTTAAACTGATAGGGTTGCTGAGTAGAGGGGAGGAAAGAAAAGAGGGGTGAAGATGCAGCTTCCATGCAAAGCTTGAAGAAAGAAGTGGGCATTGGCAGAGGAGTAGGGTGTTGGATAATCTCTTTTTCTTTCCAGGTGGAGAAACTTAATATTCTGAGTCAGGTCCTAGAGTTTTGAAGGCGGTGGTGCAGGGTGGGAGTGGGAGAGGAAAAGGAAGGTCTGTAAATGCTGTAAGCCATCTGTCCTGCCCTCACCTGGGGCCAGCAGCCAGACTTAACTCTGACTTCCCAGAAGGTGTGTGGGTGTGTGTGTGTGTGTGTTTGCAAAGCCCTTCTTCATTTTAAGCTTCAAACTTTTGCCTCTACCCGGCCTCAACAGGTCCTGCACTTTAAAGCTATGAGAGACGGTTCAGACTGTGTGTGTGTGTAAACCTTGGAGTCCTGCCTCCTACATTCTTCCCTACAAACAGCCAGAGGTGCTGAAACCCTCTCCAGAATTAAGGAGACCTGAACTCTCCCCTACAGGAGAATTTAAAGAAGAATTGACCAAGGACCTGACCTTGAACCTGGCCTTGTGTCTCTAGCACATGGGTTGCTGTCAAGCAGATTCTGACTGTTGGTGAGCCGTGTGTTGTAGAGTAGAATAGAGTTTCAATGCCTTTTTTTTGGAAGTGGCTGATCAGGCTTTGCAAGGTGGGTTCCAACTGCCTATCTTTAGTTAGTAGTAGAGTGCTTACTGTTTGTGCCACCAAGGAACTCTGGGAGAGATGAACATAGGTATCATTACCCCATTTTATAGCTGAGGAAACTGAGGAGGTTCAGAGGGGGTTGTTGTTATTGTTATGTGCCTTTGAGTCAGCTGCAACTCATAGCAACCCTATATACGATAGCTCTGAACCCTACCCTAGTCTGAGCCAGTTTCGCTGTCTCTGATACACCTAACCCCATTATCTCAGTTACTGTGTCAGTCTCTCTCATCCGGGGTCTTCCTCTCTTGTGCTGTCCCTCCACCCTTCCAAGCATAAGACTAGAATAAAGAACCAACCCATAGGTTAAAGCATATGAACTAGGAAGCATTAGAGTCAAGAGGAAGCAGAGTGGGGCTGAAGCAGGAGTGGATCTGGGGTGACTGAGAGAGATGCATGCAGATTGCTGAAGGAAGTTTAATTACTCCTGCTCTCAGCAAAACCATCATGGTTAGCCTGGGTGTGGGTGAGCAGTGGTTAGGGCAGAGGGGATTCTTGGCTTAATACCCCAGGGAAGGACTTCCTCTGGCTGCAAAGGTATGTGGGTAGGTCGTCCTGGCCATTCCTCCACCTATTGTGACCCAGAGGCATGGAGTTGGGCAATTGGTTATAACACCTAGTCCGTCTTGGCTCCCCCTGCTTCAGCACCTGCAGGAGACAGAGCTATGAGGAGGGGGCTCGGCTGCTGACCTGCTGTGCAACCTGGAGCACATCCAGGCTATTTCCGGGACTTGTCCTGAAAATAACTGTTGAAAACCAAAGCATAACAAAAATAATCGTTGAGAGCTCTTTCAGCCATAAAGACTCTTCAGACCAGAGCCCTGAAGGGGATGGGTGAAGTGCAGGAAGCACCAGGCACTAAAGCCAGACACGCTGGCATCTCTCCACACTGGCTCCCAGACGTATTTTGTCCTGATTGCACCTGCTCCTTTCTCTATCTTTCTTCCTTCTATTTGCTCTGTCTGTCTGTATGTCTTTCTGGGCTGTCAGCCACCTGCTTTCCCATGTCCTCCCTGTCTGCATGATTGGTCTCCACTGGAGGAAGAGGTTTGGGCTCAGGGTGGGGTGTGTTT